TCTCTCTCTCTCTCTCTCTCTCTCTCTCTCTCTCTCTCTCTCTCTCTCGGCAGGATCCCATTATGCACCTCTGGCTGTCCACCTTGGAACTATATAGGCCAGGTTTTCTTGGTGGCTTCAAACTCACAGAGATTTGCCTGCTTCTGCCTCCTAAGTACTAGGACTAAAGGTTGTGCCACTATGCCAGGCTTCTTTTTTTGTTTGTTTGTTTGTTTTGAGACAAGGCCTTATTATGTAGCCCTGGAAGGCCTGGAACTTACAGCGATCCAAAGGCCTCTTTCTCCCAAATGCTGAGATTCAATGTGTGTACCACCGTGCCTAGCTGTAACAAAAATGCTTTTAAGATTTTTAAACTAACTCACTGGGCGTTGGTGGTGCACACCTTTGATCCCAGCTCTCCGGAGGCAGAGGCATTCGGATCTCTGTGAGTTCTAGGCCAGTCTGGTCTACAGAGCAAGTTCCAGGACAGCCTTTAAAACAATACAGAGAGATACTGTCTCAAACAACAACAACAAAAACCCAAAAATTTAAACTATAGAGACCAGAGAGTTGGCTCAGTGGTTAAGAGCACTTGTTTGATTCCCAGCCTGACACGGAGGTTCACTGCCTCCTCCAGCACCAGCACGCATGTACTGCACACATGCGCATGCATCCAGACAAAGCACTCATACACATAAAATAATAAAAGTAAACTGAAAAGTTTTTAACTATAAAAAAACTGGTGTGTGAGGGTGCTGGAGAGATTGTTTAATGATTAGGAGCCTGTACTGTTGAGTTCAGTTCCTAGCCCCTACATTAGGTAGCCTGTGTCTCTAGCTCCAGAGGCTCTTGTATCCCCTTCTGGACTGTGGACACATGCACTCAGGTACATACCAGCACCCCCCAGTCCCCCCCCCCCCCCGTAATTAATGGTACATGCTCACACTTTAGACTCTGGAGGCTTAGGCAGTGTCAGCCCACTAACCTGCACCACAGGCTATGCAGCTAGACCTTACTTAAAAATGGGGTGGTGGTGGTGAGATGACCATGGAGGTGAGGTACTGGCTACCAAGGCTGATGACCTGAGTTTGATCCATCCCCTGGATCACACATGGTGGAAGGGGAGAGCCAACCCTTAGGAGTTGTCTTCTGACCTGAGTGCAGACTGGCACAGCTCCCACACACAGATAAACAAATGTAAATTACTATTTCATTATTTGAGTCAGGTCTCTCTGTGTAACAGCCCTGGATGCCTTGGAGCTCACTGTAGACCAAACCTGCCTTCAGAGTGCTGGGATTAAAGGCATGTGCCACCATGCTGGGCCAGAACAGCCCTTGGGCCCTTGTTATGTACTAGCTGCTAGGTTGAATGGGTAAGCAATCCTAAGTGCTGAATTGCAGGTGAGTACTGCCATGCCCAATTATTTGTTTAAGGTTTAATTATGTGTAGCTGTGTGTGGGTGTGCACACCCGTGAGTGCAGGTGTCCTTGGCGATGAGTTATTTCCTCCTGCTGGAGGTTGTAGTTGTGAAGGTTGTAAGCTGTGGGCTACCTGATGTGGGTGCTGGGAGTCAAACCTGGGTCTTCTGAAAGAGCAGCCAGTGCTCTTCACCAATGGGCCATCTCTCACCTACCTGGCCAGATTATGTGGTGCTAGGGACTGAAGGTAAGGCTTCACAAATGCCAAATAAGTGTTCTACCAGCTCAACTACACAGCCAGTTCATACTTGGAGGTACTTTACCTAAGTTGTCTTATTTAGTTCTCACAAGCACATGAACCAAGTACCATTAGCTCCAGTGTATTACAGAAAGAAAATGGAGGCACTGGTAATTTCCCTAAGTAAGGCCACATTATTAAGTTGTAGTTGCCGGGCATTGGTGGCGCACGCTTTTAATCCCAGCACTCTGTGAGTTCGAGGCCAGTCTGGTCTCCAGGATAGGCTTGGCTCCAAAGCTACACAGACAGAGAAACCCTGTCTGGAAAAACAAAAAAAACAAGAAGTTGTAGTGTTTCCAGGACTGCTGAGGCAGGAGGTTCATGAATTTGAAGCCAAATTGTGCTCCACAGTGAGTTTTAAGGTCAGCCTGGGCTAGACAACATGATTGTTTTAAAAAAAAAAAAAAAATCCAATGACTTGCTGGGCGTTGGTGGCGCATGCCTTTAATCCCAGCACTCGGGAGGCAGAGGCAGGCGGATCTCTGTGAGTTCGAGGCCAGCCTGGTCTCCAGAGCTAGTGCCAGGATAGGCTCCAAAGATACACAGAGAAACCCTGTCTCAAAAAACCAAAAAACCCCAAAAACAAAAAACAAAAAAAAAACAAAAATCTAAAACACCTGGGTGTGGCTGATGGCACATGTCCATCATTCCAGTCCTTTTGAGGTGAGGAGGTGCAAGGGATAACGAAAGATCAGGATTCAAAGACAACCTTGTTCCAGAGAGTTTGAGGCCAGCCATGAGCTACATGAGACCCTTCTCAGGGGGAAAACAAGCAGCTAGCTGTAGTGTCTTATGCATGTAGTCCCTTATGCTTTAGTCCCTCACGCCTGTAGTCTGTCTCCAGCCTGTAGTTCTCAGGCCTGTAGTCTCCAGCTAGCACTTGGGTATCTGAGCAGGAGATGGCTGTGAGTTCCAGTACACCTCATGCTTTGTGAGATTCTGTCACAGAAAGCAAAAAATCCCACCTAAAAATAAAGTTTACAATGCCCACCAGCAGCAGCACTCAAGAGTCTGGGACAGGAGGATATAGTTCTAGGCCTGCCTGGACTATATAGCAAGATCACCTCTCAAGAGCAAGGTGATACAAAAAAAAGTGAATGTTTTCCTTCTGAAAACCAACTACCAGGCAGGGAGGCGAGACACTGGGCCTGGCTTGAGCATTTGAAACCTCAAAACCCACCCCCAGTAACATGCTTCCTCCAGGAAGGCCACACAAGACCCTGGCTTCTGAGCCTGATGACCTGAGTGTGGTCCCTGGGACCCATGTGGTGGCAGGAGAAACTGACTGTTGGAAGTTGCCCTGACTTCTGACACCCACATGTTTCTCTCTCTCTCACACACACCACGCACTTAAAAAACAATGAAATCATCTGTTGGGAAAATTGGTAAGAGGTGGTAATAGGAGATTATGAGATGCATGGAGGCTCTAAATATCCTCATGATTTTTCTGTAAATCTTAGACTTCAGAGATTTTAAAGAGCTGGTGATCATGGTACACACCTTTGATCCTAGTATTTGGGAGGCAGAGGCTGATCTGTTCAAGGCCAGCTTGGTCTATGTAGATACTTCCATGACAGCCAAGGCTATTAAATGAGCCCCATCTTAAAAAAAAGTTGGGCATAGTGTCACGGACCCTTTAACCCTAGTGCTCAGGAGATACAAGCAGGAAGTTCAGGGATTTAAGGTTGTTCTCTGTTAACAGTGTGAGTTTACAGTCAGCCTGGGCTACAAGAGACTCAAAAAAGCAAACAAGAAACCAGGCATGGTGATGCATGCCGTTAATCCCAGCACTCAGGGTGCAAAGGCAGGTGTATCTGGGTTTGAGACCAGCCTGGTCTGCATAGTGAGTGCCAGGACTACACAGAGAGACTTCAGAAAAAAACACACACACACACACACATTGAAGAGGCTAAGCTCTGTGATTTTGGAAAGGTTCTTTATCCTCTGTTTAAATTTTCTCAACTCTAGTAGGGGTAAAAATTTATCTAGCTTGCCAGGTGATGGTCTACAAGAGCTAGTTCCAGGACAGCCTCCAAAGCCACAGAGAAATCCTGCCTCAACTCCTCCCCCCCCAATCCAATGGCTCAGCAGGTTAAGAGACTTGGTAACAAGCCTGGTTAAGTTTGATTCCTCAAATCCATAATGATGGAAGGGGAGAATTAACTGCTTTTTATCTGACCTCCACGTGTTCCATACAAACACACACACAAAGTAAGTTACTCTCTGATCTCCACATATGTTCCATACATACAATTACAGAATTTAAAAAAAATGTTAAAAAAAAATGAGACCTGGCTACCAATAAAGCTGACACTCTGTCATCTATAGCTTCTATTATGATAAAATGTATCATCATCCAGGTGTCTCTGTCTAGGTTCCTGGCTTGTGGGCAGAGACATTATTTCAGGGTCAATGTCGAGGAGGACCCTGAACTGGCTGGCAGTCTGCCCTCTCCCCATTCCTCTTGTCCTAGGTACTCGATGCAGGAGATGTATGAGGTGGTGTCCAATGTGCAAGAGTATCGTGAGTTTGTGCCGTGGTGTAAAAAGTCACTTGTCGTATCCAGCCGCAAGGGTCACCTGAAAGCCCAGCTGGAGGTTGGGTTCCCACCTGTCCTAGAACGTTATACCTCTGCAGTCTCAATGGTCAAACCACACATGGTCAAGGTGAGGCCATTATGGGAGGGATTTGGGGTGTTTTGTCCCTTAGCAGTTTCATACTAAAGGGTTATTATGGCTTTTCCTGTAATTGATTTCTACATGTTAAATATTTACCTAATATACCATTAAAGGGAAGGAAAAACACTTTCAACTATCTTGGGTGGTGGTGCTGGGCCAACCTTGGACATCACACATACCACACAAGTAGTTCCACCACGATAAACCCTCTAGCTCAGTGGTCTCAACCTTCCTACCTCGTCTACTTTTTTTTTTTTTGGTTTTTCGAGACTAATACAGTTCCTCATGGTGTGGGGACTCCAACCACAAAATTATTTCCATTCTTTTAAAAATATTTCACACATATTAGTGTTTTGTCGTTCTGTGAAGGTACCACATCCCCTGGAACTGGAGTTATAGACAGCTGTGAGCTGCTATGAAAGTGCTGGGAATTGAACCTGGGTCCTTTGGAAGAGCAGCCAGTATTTTTGTTTTTGGAGACAGGGTTTCTCTATGACTTTGGAGGCTGTCCTGGAACTTGCTCACGTAGACCAGGCTGATCTCGAACTCAGAGATCTGCCCGCCTCTGCCTCTCCAGTGCTGGGATTAAAGGCGTGTGCCGCCACCACCGCCACCACCACCACCAATATTCTTAACCACTGAGCCAGCCCTTTATTGCTACTTCAAAACTGTAATTTTGCTGTTATGCGACACAATGCGAATCCGTGTTGTCTGACTGTCTTGGGCAATCTGTGGATAATCCACAGGTTGAGAACTGCTGCTCTAGCTCCTTTACACAACCCCTGTCCTTTAATGTTTGGAGTTAACTAGCTGATTGTATCCTGTTCTAGGCTGTTTGCACTGATGGCAAGCTCTTCAACCACTTGGAGACTATTTGGAGATTCAGTCCTGGTATCCCTGCCTACCCTCGAACCTGCACTGTAGACTTCTCGGTGAGTCGGGTTTACACAGACCTGGAACAGGCATGAGGGTAAAATTGAGCACTTCAAGTCAATACGTATCCAATGGTCTAAGTCTCTATCAGATTTGTATTTTGCTCAGTTCTAAATTGGAGTTGGTCAGTAGTGTCTGGAGGGGGATGAGAAGACAGCACACATCAGTATCCTTCCTACATGGCCTTGAAGTTTCTGACTGGCTCTTGTGCCTTTCCAGATTTCCTTTGAATTTCGCTCTCTGCTGCACTCCCAGCTGGCGACCATGTTTTTTGACGAGGTTGTCAAACAGAACGTTGCTGCCTTTGAGCGCCGGGCAGCCACCAAGTTTGGTCCAGAGACAGCCATCCCCCGAGAGCTGATGTTCCATGAAGTGCACCAGACTTGAGACAAAGGACTCTTCCCCTGCCTCCCCCTCTTCCCACCCACTTCTTATTTATTTGGTTTGGCTCTTGCTCAGAGAGAGGTCTAAGTTTTACCTCCCTATTCTTCCTAAACCGGGCTGCATGCTGGCTGGACGTGTGGGAAAAGATAGCAGATATGGAAGTGAGATACACACTGAAGTGTCAGGAGCGCTCTGAAGGCCTCATCCGGCCACGGCCAGTTCACACCCAACAAAAACCAGGGCAAGAAACCTTAATGCCCGGTCAAGCGAATCTAGTAACTTCCTCACACAGAGGTACTGGCTGGCAAGTAACTTTTACCCTGCTAAGATTTCTCAGGAGAAGAGAAAGGCAACCTGCCTCAGCTTAGGGACCTTTCATGCCGTCTGACAGAAGTGAAGAGCTGCTTCACCATCGGTGCCACAGAGCAGAGGAGGAGGAATCCCTTAACAGTATTGTCTACACTGTTGGATGTACCTTTCTCTTCCACATGGCCCGAGTCTGAGTTTTATAAACCTTCAATAAATTGTGGCAGTGTGAATTTGTCTTTTTTTGTATTGTTCCTCGGGGTAGGGGCAGGAGGGATAACATATTAAGTAGAGTGGAAGAAAGTCATAGCTTCCTTTCCTGTGGGAGTAAAGGTGTAAGAAGACAGCCTCTTGGACATGGTGTCCCTGCTAACTATAGTAGCATGGCCTGTATGCCAGGACCCACTACCTACCTTCTCGCCTATTTATAGACTTTTTCAGAAGGTCAGCTGAAGGAAGTCTCAGGACAGATTCATATGATTTTAGACCTCCCATATATCTAATGTCCCCCCTCAGGGCCACCCCTTATTTTGAGGGGGGCCTCCTTAATGAAAGTGGTAAAGAGAAGACAACCTACAGCACCCTCTAGTGTCTATGTTTGGATCTAGCAGTCTTTCTCCATTTGCCCTTGATACAGTTCTTGTCCCTTTCACCCAGTGGGCTACACCAGCTGGATTAGTCAGGCAAGGACTTGTGAGGTCTGCTACAGTCTTTCCAAATTAGGAGGGGTGGGGGCTAAAGGTAAAGGACTTCCTAACCTTGGGGGAAGACTGAACAAACGTCTTTTGGAAATCAGCCTTTCCTCTGAATGTCCAACTCACCTGAAGAAAAAGGAATACACAGAATCACTTATCACCCACTAGTTCAGACCTTCCTAACCAGACCCCTTACCTCATAATGATTCTTTCAGGCCTCATGTAATAGCAAGCTCAAGCATTGTTAATAAAAACATTTATTATTTTTCATTTTATACAGAACAACCTGACTTAACAGTTACCCAGGGGTTTACAGTGTGTCCATCTCAAAAAGTGTGGTACTGAGGTTTGGGTTCCACACAAACTCAGGCAGGAATTTTGGGGCAAGGGGGGCACAACAGGAGTGTATCTCAACCCTTTCTCAGAGAAAAGGCAGTAGAGCATTCTGAGTCACTGAAAACCTGTGCAAATGGGGCTGCTAAAACAAACACCACACTGTGAGCTCAGACTTAGAGAGACATCGATAAATAAAGGGACACATCCTTGACACAGGGGATGAGAAGGCGGCTCACTGTTTTCAATGCCCTCAGCCCTAGGTCCAACACATATTCAATTCTAAGTAATTTTTCTGTTCAAAAAGAAAGGCTAGAACCCCTGGGACCAGACCATGAAGAGGCTGGCCATTCCTGAGCCCTTGTTCTGTGTGCCAGAGCATATTAACAGGAGAAATCAAGGTCAGAGTGGCTTATGTTCCATGGAAGTAAAAGGCCTAGTTCACATTAAGTCTGATAAAGCCAAATGACTGGGAAGACCATAGGTCACAGACCTGCTAAGTAGAAGGACCTAGCAGAGGCTAGGACAGGGAGACCCAGGGCATCCTCAGCTGAGGCACAGCAAGTATAGGAAGTCTGGAAGGAAACAGAACACTTCCAGACCTTCATTTCAATGGTATTATTTAAAAAGAAAAGTAGAATCATATGCTGGCTACCAGTCACAATAAATACCATGCCACTTATGGTAACCGATAGCATAAAAAGTTGCCAAGGAGTTTCCAGCTAGCCAACAGATCTTGCTAGGAGGTGCTTGTGTACATGGGAAAAGGCCCTAGGTTTGACACAGCTGACACCCAACAGGATTCCTATGGAAACAAAGGGGGCCTGGCCCTGGCCTCGATGGTGTGGAGGCTGGTGGATTAGAAGCAGAAGCTTCAGTGACTGCAGCTTTCCTGTAACCTGCTTTGACCTAAACAAGAGGAGCCAGACTCTCACTCTGGAGATGGTGGGCAGCCAGCTCTAACCTGACCACATGCATTAATTAGTCCTGGTCGCTCTACAGTTGGTGGGCAACTCATACCAGGGAAGGGAGCTGGTGAGGGGAGAAGGGGTCACTTTTCATCTTTATATTTTAACTTCAAATGTATTTTCAGTGCCTCAGATACAGTTTAATCTTAAGTCTTAAAGGCCCCTGAAACAAAACAAAATTATACTTTATTTTTTAAGCTTCCTCATTTTCTTATAGTCAGTTTCCCCCAATCTCCCGTTTTACCCTGACTTAGAGTCCACAAATTTCATCAGACCATCCGTGCTCATGGACTTGGGCCTTTCTAGTGGGAAACCTAGGGCTCGGCTCCAGATGAGTTGTGCCAGCACACCCAGTGCCCTCGACACTCCAAACAGGACTGTGTAGTAATTCATCTCCGTCATGCCATAGTACTGTTAAGGTAGAAGAAAAGAAAAGGCTTTATTAAAAGCCAGAGACGGTGGCACATACAAGACAATAAGAACCTTAGAGACCCATTCCCCCCTTTCACCCATAGTCTTAGCCCACTCAGCCTTAACTAGAAAGGACATCAGGAAAAGCAAAGCAATTGCAATTCCCCAGGCCCTGCCATGAGACTGTGTCAAAGGGCTCTGTGAGGGAGGACAGAGGAGCCCTTGCTCCAGCGGAGCCTGGGGCTGTAGACCTAAAATTCTATCACGTAAGAGGCCAAGGCAGGAGATCAAAAGGTCAGAGGCCAAGGAAACAGCTTGGTTGGCAGACTGTTTGCCTCTCAAAGGCCGAGGACCCGAGTTCAGATTCCCAGCATGTACATAAGTCAGGGTGTAGCAGCATGTGTCTGAATCCTGTGAGCGGGAGATCCCTGGAGCTTGTCACTGATGAGTGGAATCAATGACCTCCGGGTTCACTAAGAGATCCTGTCTCCAAAAGAAAGATGAAAAGCAACAGAGGAAGACGCTTAACATCACCTCTGGCATCTACATGTATACACGCGTGCCAGCACACACACACACACACACACACACACACACACTCACCACCAACTAGCTAGAGACCGTGTCAGGCCTGGTGGTGCATGTACTTGGAAGGCAGAAGCAGTGGATCTCTGAGTTCCAAGCCACTCAAGTTTACTGAGTGAGACCTTTCAATTAAGGGCCACACAAGAGGCTTTGGGACCCACGCCCCTATTGTGATTAGGAGTTGATGTGGTACAAGTGAGAGGGAAGCAGGAAAGAAAGGGCTCACCTGGAGCAGCACACCACTGTGAGCGTCCACGTTGGGCCAAGGATTCTTGGCCTTCCCTTGCTCTAAGAGGATGTTGGGCACAATCTTGTACAGTTGAGCAACCAGCTTAAACAAGGGGTCGTTAGGCAGATGCTTCAGAGCAAACTCCCTCTGACAGGAATATCGTGGGTCAGTCTTCCTTAGTACTGCATGACCATATCCTGGGACAACCTGTAAAGGGCAGGAGGGAGTGGGGAAAGTTACAGAGAAGCATATCCAGGTACATCACCCCCCTTCATTTTAAGGTAATTTGGTCCTGGTGGCTCAAATAGGATGGTAAATCCAAAGCCTGCCTGGGCATTTCAGTGAAACCCTGTCTCAAAATAAAGGGCTGGGAATATAGACCAGTGGCAGAGCAGCTGTCTAGCCAGCAGATGCTGGGGACAAGCCCGAGCAACACAGAAAAGAAAACTAAACCCACCAGGTAAACAGATGTGGAAACAATAGGAAAGGCGGCCTCTTCTGGCTAATGCAGGGGCTGTTTTTATTCTTTTTTTCTCCCCACTTGAGACAAGGTCTCGGCCTGGAATTTTCCTTCACACTGCAGTGTCTGAGTCTCAGTCTTTCTCCTGGTTGCTTACCCGTCCTGAGTTGAGTGTATTCCAGATGTAGTCTCGCAACTTCTCATCCGACACGTCTTTGCCTACCTCCTTCTGCAGCTGTGTCAGCCAGACAAGCACTTCCTACACGGTAGATGTAGGGTGGGGAAGAGGGACATCAGCACACATGTCAAGGAAAGAATGTCAAGATTAGGGGCAGAGCATGTGAGTAAAAAACACACAACAGGAAGCCACAAAAGCTAGGCTTACCTGATTTGCCAGCCCGTGCAGAGGCCCTGCGAGCCCATTCATGGCTGCTGCAAAGGACAGGTAAGGGTCTGAAAGGGCGCTGCCCACCAAGTGGCTGGTGTGGGCACTCACATTACCACCCTCGTGGTCACTGTGGGACAGAAGGCAGAGCCAAAGGGAAAGAAAATGGCTGGTTATGGGTGACAGACATGGCTTTCCTTTTGCCCCATGGGCTCCCGACACCCACAGCGGTCAGTTGGACCTGCCCTGCTCCCTCTCTCCCCCACCAGTCTTCTTCACCCCACTGCCACTGTTAGGTTCAATGCAGAGCTCAAAGCCGCAGTAGGCAAACTATTTTCAGCTACTGAGCCCATTTTAATGACCATGACCACAAGAGGGCGCTCCTGGAAAGCTGACCTTCCTGGTGAGCAGCTTACCCCTTTCCAATCAGGAGAGATTTGCCTCAGCCTTTCAGCTTTTCTTCCTCATTTCTTGCCTACTTCTCATGTTACAAGATGCTTCTATCCCTCTGCTACAGACCGTCTGTTCCCAGATAATAACACTAAGGAGCTTGTCCTGGCACTCACTCTGTAGACCAGGCTGGCCTCTGCCTCCCAAGTGCTGGGATTTAAGGTATTGCAGCCTAATGCTTTAACCACCACCACCCGGCAAAGGAGCTTTTATAATATACCCCTATCCATCCCACCCCCCATTTGCTGGGACCTTTAGTCCTGGCATTTGGGAGGCAGAGGCAGGAGGATCTTTACAAGTTTGAGGCCAGCACAGGCAAGGCTATGTAGAAAGATCCTGTTTCACAAACAAACCAAGAAAGAGTTTCTCATCATTCCAGGCACCTGAGCAGGGATATAATTACTAACTGTAGCTCACCTGTGGATGGTGAGGTACAAACGCATAAGCTCAGTGAACTGTGGTTCAGTATAGCCTAACATGTTGGTAAAATTGTGGGACCAGTCCAGCTTAGAGTCAATGGCACCAATGCTGCTGCCTTCCCGGTAAAGATTCCGGTAGATTTTTGCTGCCACACAAGGGAGCTTTGCAATCAGGTCCATACAATCTTCATAAATCAACTGATGAAAGAAAAGACGGAGAAAAAAAGGGAATTACATGCAAAGCATTAGGCTGCAATACTGTTTTGTTTGTCCTTCAACAGTATCTGGGTTGACAGCAGTGTGCTGGGCGGTTCTGCATTTCAGGTATAGAATGACAATAACCATATGCTGAGCAAATGACTGCAGCCGAGGCTTCTAGTGTCTGCAGTGTGTGCCCTACTGGACCTGTCTTGTCCACTCACAGAGGACTCAGGTAAGTATTAAAGGGAGATCTGAACCCTGATCTGCTGCTTTGTGACGTTCTCAGGACACTAAACAGATGTGATAAGATATCACTATTATTACTACTGTGTGTGTAAGGGAGCAGGGGCTACACAGGCCACAGCACACAGTGAGATCAGAGGGTGACTCTGTGAAGTCCCTTCTTCCTGCCACCTTTATGTGGGCTCTGGGGACTGAGGTCAGAATTCTAGGATTGCTCAGCTTTACCTTCTGAGCCATCTCACTGGCCCATTTCTAAATTAATTCTTTATTTCTTTATTCTAATGTTTAATTTAATTCTGCATTTTAGTTCCAGTGAAAATTTATTACATATGTTAAGAATCAAATAGTGCTGACCAATTATTGAATAGCAAAAGCTTCAAGGTTTTAGATACATATTATGCTATATATATCATAAGGTTTCGATACCATATACTTTAATAGAAAACTTGCCCAGCATGTAGGGGGGCCTAGGTTTGATATCTGGCAATTGCCTAAAAATTCACCTAAAACATGGGGCTGGAGAGATGGTCTGTAGTTAAGAGCACTTGTTCTTGGAGACGGCCCAGGTTCAGTTCCCAGCACTCAACATGGTAGCTAATGACGATCTAACTCCAGTTTCAGAGGGTCAGATGCCCTCTCTGACCTCCACATACACTGCACACATGTGGTGCACAGACATACTTGCAGACAAAACACCCACACATGTAAAAAAAAACAAAAAACAAACAAACAAAAACCTTGAAAAATATACCCCAAGAAGAAAGAGCACACAAACTGGCTACTGAAAACATATACACACCAGGCAGTAGTGGGCACGCCTGTAATCCCAGCACCTGGCAGGCAGAGACAGGCGATCTCTGTGAATGGCCAGAATGGTCTACAGAGTGAGTTCCAGGAGGCTGTTACATTGAGAAACCCCACCTCAAAGGAAAACAACAACAAAACCCAAACATATACACAAGTAACATTATACGGACTGAGCAGGTTATATTCACCTGTTTAGGAACACACACATGGGATGTCCTCGTCATACTTGGTGGTATGTGTGGAATTGGAAAAGGATGGTAGTAGCGTGTGCTGTGCAATGCACGGGGACAATACCGTGGCCTTTCCAAACACCAACAGCGGGATTCAAACTAGTGAGGTCACTTTTCATTTTTCAGAAAATAAAGTTTGTTTTGGGATCTCTTCTCTCCCGACAGTATATATGATCTAACTCAGAATGTGACAGGAATTAGTCCGCATAGACTACAGTGTGATTCGCTATCGTTCACCCAAACTCTGAGGCATAATGAAAGTTCCCCTTATTTGGGGCTGGTGAGATGGTTCAGTGGGCGAACCTGACAGAGTTTGATCACTAGTACCGACACTGTACGAGGAGCAAACAGATTCCTGTCATTTGTACTCTGACCTCCACATGCTGTATGAGCGCACAAGCAACGCAAATAAACAGTGCTCCATCTTCTTTATAATTAACAGAAGGCACCTACTGGCCTACAGTGAATTTCTGTTTTAGTGTTGGGGACCAACTCAGGGCCTCACTCATGGTGTATGCTCGGTGATCCCAGCTTCTAGTGGTCTGTGAGTGGATTCCTGGAGAACCTCATTACAGTCCCCCACTCAGGGTTCCTACCTCCCAGTACTTGGTTCTGTTGATGCCCTCCGAGTACGCCCGGGCAAAATTACTTTCACTGTTAAGGGCTGTGATGGCCGCGCTGAGTTGAGACATGGGGTGCAGATTAGTAGGAAAGTTGTCCAGCATGGTGACCACATGAGAAGGCAGAGCTGCCCTTCTGGCCCATTCTTGTGAGAGCCAAGACACCTGTGAAAAAGGAGAACTGCTCAAACACAGAACAGTAATTAAGACCCAAGTAAAGATAATCACAGGGCTCAGTACAACCCACTTCGACTGCCAGATCCTACCAGTTCTTCTCAAAGTGCTCTGCAGAGAAAACCAGGGCAGGGGAACGGGACAGCCAATGCTGACCATACCTGTTCCTCTGTAGGCATCTGTCCAGTTACCAGCAGCCAAAATAAGCCCTCAGGTAGGGGTTCTTCCCCACCCTTAGCCTTAGGCAGCAGTTTTTGGCATTCAGGGATACTGTGGCCTCGAAAACGGATGCCCTTGAGAGAGAAGAGTGATAATTACAACCAAATGTATTATCTATCAGTCATACAGCTGACTGGTCCTAGTCATAACAGACATTCAGGTGGGTAAACACACGTGACACTAGCCTGATGGCCTTAGTTTGATCCCTGGGACTCACAGTGATGCAAGAGAACTGACTCCCACAAGTTGTCGTCTGACCTCCACATTTATAATGTGGTACTTGTACCTGGGCACATACATGAACATGCACACACAAAGTACAAGTTTTAACTTTAAAAAAAATGCTACAAATATGTTAAAAAAAAAAAACAAAACAAAAACAAAAACCCAGGCATGATGGTGCACACCTTTAATTCCGGCAGATGGGAGGCAGAGGCAGGCAGAGTTCTAGGCCAGCCTGAACTATAGAGTGAGACAGCCAAGACTACACAGAGAAACCCTGCCTCAAAACAAAGATCCACAGAGAAAACCTGCCTCGAAAAAAACCAAACCAAACCAAACCCAAAAACCAAAACAACAACAACAAAATTATTTTGGTATCAGAGTATGTCTATGTAGTTCTGGCACTCACTCATTATGAAGACAGGGTGGCCTTGAACTCAAGAGATCCAACAGCCTCTGCCTCCTGAGTGCTGGAATTAAAGATGTGCACCACCATAGTTAGCTATTTTTATTATTTATTCATTTATTAATTGGTTTTTCGAGACAGGGTTTCTTTGTGGTTTTGGAGGCTGTCCTGGAACTAGCTCTTGTAGACCAGGCTGGCCTCGAACTCACAGAGATCCACCTGACTCTGCCTCCCAAGTACTGGGATTAAAGGCGTGCGCCACAAATGCCCAGCTATTTTTATTATTTTTAATTGTGCACCTGAATGTGAGTCTGTGTGTGGGTATAGTATGTCTTCTTAACTGCTAAACCACCTCTCTAGCCCCATGTGTTTTGTTTGTTTGTTCCAATTAAAATGCAAAGGGGGGGAGGGCCGCACTGGCCATGAATTCAAGACCAAGCCAGCCAAGGCTACACAGTGAGACCTATTTCAAAAAAAAAAAAACAAGAACCAAAACCAAAACCAAACCCCAGTACTTTCCAATATTAATTGTTTACATATTGACTTTTGCCTTTGTTCCCTTATCCTGTGCGCTGATACACTAAAGAGAAAGTGCTCTTTCTTGTCCTGTTCAGACGTATTCTGCACTGGTTCAGTTTTCACATGGGTTTGTATGATCAGACCCACTATTATGGATGGTGTCTTACCTCATCAGGATCAAGAACAGATGTTTCATACACAAGTCCTTTCATGCCTCTCATGCCACCATACATCTAAGGAAAGAAGTTGTGCCAATTGTCAGACTGGCTGGGACCAGAATGGTGGTCAGAGCTTCATGGAACTCTGAAGACGTTTACTCTCTTACTGCAAGACTACACTTAGGAGGCCATTTCTGGGGGTTGAATTTCTGGACACTTACACCGAGTCACTACTGTTTCTTTAATATACACACCTTTGCTTCCTTTTCTTCCTTTCTTTCCTTCCTTCTTTCTTTCTTTTAAAGACATTTATTTTTATTTATTATGTATACATTATTCCTCCTGCATATATCTCTGCAGGCCAGAAGAGGACGCCAGATCTCATTATGGATGGTTGTGAGCCACCATGGTGCTGGGAATTAAACTCAGGACCTCTAGAAGAGCAGCCAGTGCTCTTAACCTCTGAGCCATCTCTCCAGCCCCTGCTTCCTTTTCTTAACTGTATTTTTTTTTTTTCCTGACGATTCTTAACCCCCTCCACATTAAATCTATTATGACATTAGGTCTATTATAGAATTAGATCTACTATGGGCAAAGGGAAGGAGGCAATGACTAAAAATTGTTAGCAGAGTTGCTCAAACTCTAATGGCTGAGGAAGATATCCTAAGGCTGTACCAGAGGATTTTTATTGGGGCTACAGTTTAACTGGATGGCTGTCACAACATCAATCAAAAGACAGTCCCAGCCCTAGCTAAAGAGCTGGGAACAGGACTAGAAGCCACATTCACCCTTGTCATAGGTAAACACTCTCAACACTTCTGTACAGAACAGAAAGAACATTTCTGAATACCAGTGAAGAAAATGGTTCCCTGTGGTACCCATCACAGCTAAGATGCTACCTCGGCCCTTACCATGTCCACGGTGATCTGGCCCACCACCGTCTTCCCATGCTGCTGTCTGAAGGCTTTAATTCTGGCCTGCTCCTTGGGTATCAGATTGCTCAGTACATCTTTTAGATTCTAGAAATGGAAATAGAAGGATTAAGTGACAGGAAACTGTATAGGGCTTCCTACGGTAAAGAAGGTATGTGAAGACTGCTTGTCAACATTTCTCTACCTGCCAGGCCCGAGGAGGAGGGAATAAAGAGCTTCATTTTGCAGAGATGAAACTGTCCTGGATATGGACAGTGGTGTCCATTTAATTAATGATTAAAAAGTCAGGAATGGTGGGTGCATATCTAAAATCCTAGCCCTCCAGAGGCAGACAGATGAATGAGGCCACCCTATCTCAGGAACTTAATAAAAGGGCTATATAATAAGACCTTGTATTAGGAATTTAAAAAAAAAAAAGTTAAAAGTAAATTTTATTTCATTTAGGGGTCATGAGTATAGTTTACTGGTAAAGTCCTTGCCTAGCACACGTGAAGCCCTGGGTTTAATGTACAGCATTAAAAAGGGAGGGGGGGCATTTGCTATTTCCACAGCACTACTCCACTGTATATTTCTTAAGGGGCTGGAGAGATGGCTCAGCAGTTAGCACTCTGCTCTCCCAGAGGACCCAGGTTCAATTCCCAGCACCCACACAGCAGCTAACAATTGTCTGTAATTCCAGTTCCAGGGGATCCACCACCTTTACACAGACATACATGCAGGCAAAACACCAATGCACATAAATTTTTAAAAATATTTCTCAATGCCCGTGGTGGTGGCGCACACCTTTAATCCCAGCACTTGGGAGGCAGAGGCAGGAGGATCTCTGTGAGTTCAAGGCCAGCCTGGTCTTCAAAGAAAGTTCCAGGACAGTCTCCAAACCTGCAGAGAAACCCTGTGTCGAAAAACAAACAAACAAAAAATCATAGCAATAATAATTATTGGCAATTCCAATAGATATAAGATAATAAGGCAAATAACTGCCAAACTCTCTATCCTGAGGTTAGATTGCTGCAAGGATTCTGCACTCCTTAGCCAGATCTTACCGTGGAAGAAGCACTGGCATGCCGGACAGCAAGAACAAGGCAGGATGAATTCTGCAAAGAGATCAAGACAAAACACTTATTAGCACCCTTCCCTCCTTTGCATCAAGGAGTTGCAGAGACTTGGTCTCTCCATTTTCACCTTTTAAGACAGTTTGCATAGTTTTATCAGGCCATAAACAGCCTGGCAGAAGCCTGCTTCTTATACCCACAGCATCCATCATTAGTGTTCCTTTAAAAGTTTCTCTCTTGCCGGGCGTTGGTGGCGCATGCCTTTAATCCCAGCCCTCGGAAGGAAGAGGCAGGCAGATCTCTGTGAGTTCGAGGCCAGCCTGGTCTCCAAAGCGAGTGCCAGGATAGGCTCCAAAGCTACACAGAGAAACCCTGTCTCGAAAAACCAAAAAAAAAAAAAAAAAAAAAAGTTTCTCTCTCTCACACCAGGGCTCCTGGACATCACAGTTGTTATACAGAGCATCTAGTCCATGTAAAGCTAATTGTCAATATTTGTGAGTGGCCCCCAAGAAAACTGGCTTATTACTGCTAAGAAATCTCCATCACAGCTGGGCCATGGTGGTGCATGCCTGTAGTTCCAGCACTTGGGAGGCAAAGGCAGGTGGATCTCTGTGAGTTCAAGGCCAGCTTGGTCTACAGCTTGAGTTCCAGGACAGCCAGGACTGTTACAGAGAAACCCTCAACCTCTCCCAAAACAAACAAACTTCATTACTTAAGTCTTTTAGCATCACCTAACCTGTCCAATCTACGACAGCCTACAGGCACAATAGCATTTTTTGTTTGTTTGTTTTTCGAGACAGGGTTCCTGTGTAGCTCTGTGTATCCTGGCACTCGCTCTGGCTGGCCTCCAACTCACAGAGATCCACCTGCCTCTGCCTCCCAAGTGCTGAGATTAAAGGCGTGCACCACCAACGCTCAGCCTCATACACATAAAATTAATTATTACAAGAAAAAGAAAAGTTAAGGAATTAGAGGAATTTTAAAGGTAGGTAAGTCACCCTTCGAGCTGTATGTGACTTCTGTTTTTAGGTGTCAATTTGAGAGATTAAAAATACCTTTTTTGACAAGGTATTTTCATAGGGCTCTGGCTGGCTTTGAACTCTGAGATCAGCTTGTCTCTGCCTCCCAAGTTCTGGGCTAAAAGGCCTGTGTCACCACTCCTGGCATTCTTATACATTATCTATGTATACTTATACTGAGCCCCACCACACACACACACACACACACACACACACACACACACACACACACACACACACACACGCACAATCTTACTCTCTAAAACCTTAACCACAAACTATTCCAAATGATAAAGGAAAAATTCAAGTTAGAACAACTTTAATTAAAAGATTTGGAAAGGAAAGCTAAGCATGGGTGGTTCACACCTGTAAACCCAGCACTTGAGGTGACTTGAGACTCAGAGGCAGTAGGATCACAACTTCTATGCCAACTTCAATCTACGGAATGAGACATGTCTGAGAGATGGCTCAGCAAGCAGGAGTTACCAGGAGCCCCACAGCTGCTTACAACCATCCATAACTCTAGTTCTAGGAAATCTAATGCCCTCTTCTGGCTTCCACAGGCACCAGGCACAGATGGTACACAGTCATACATACAGGCAAAACACCCATACACAAAAAATAAACTAACAATCCCAGAACCAGGAGGCCGAGGCATGAAAATCAGAAGATCACCCTCAGCCACAAGAGTTCTGTGCCCAGCCTTAAACAAAAGAGACCATGTCCCAAAAATAAACAAATAAACAAATTAATGGAAATTCAGACTTGGAACTCAGACCTAATTTCAACCTATAGTTTACATGGAAAAACACAGCAAGTCCTAAATACAGGTCTGCCATTTTTTATTCCGTTACTTTGGCTACGAGACCTAACATAGTGTCACTTTTTAAATCTCTACAGTGGTTATAAAAAGCCAATTTTAGGGGTGTGGCAGATGACTCAGTGGGCAAGTTTACTCTGCAAGTATAAAGACCAAGCCCAAATCTCCAGCACCCTCATAAAAGCCAGACATCAATACTAAATTGTACTCTGTTAAATTACTAGGCATTTTGTTATCAAATAAATGTAAACTGTAAGTTCTTTTCAGTTTTAACATATTTATTTTAAATGCATTTCAAGTCCATAACTAGTACCCTGTAAAAATATAGGCAGTAATTAAAAAAGAAAAGAAAAACAACAAAACAACACAGCAGCTTGTACCTAGAACTCAGAATCCTGCCAGTCAACCTAACCAAAAAAGGGCGAGCTTCCTGTCCCTAGGCATGAGAGCAGACAATTACAGAAGACACCCAAACTTGTCCCTGGCCTCCATATGTACATGTCCCACACACAGGAAGCCAATTTCAGAACAGTTAAATAAACTACAGGAAAGCATGTGGAGGGGCTGGAGAGGTTGCTCAGCAGTTTGGACCCAGCACATGGTGGATCACAACCATCCAAACCTCCAGTCCCAGAGGATCTGGATCCCCTCTCCTAATCGCCATGGGAACCAGGTGGCGTGAAGACAGATGCACGTGTGCGCGCACATGCGCACACCTTTATCCCAGTATTCAGGAGGCAGAGGCAGGCCGATCTCTGTGAGTTAAGAGACCAGCCTAGTCTACAAGAGCTTGTTCTAGGACAGCCTCCAAAGACACAGAGAAACCCTGTCTCAAAACCCTGCCCCCCAAAAAATCTAAAAGAAAATTTCTAAAGCGTGTAGGACACTGATTTGTACATAGGTAATAATTTCAATACTTGTTTCTTAAAAATGCACCAGTCTCAGGCAGGGTGGTGGTGGTGCACACCTTTTAAACCCAGCACTTGGGAGGCAGAGGCAGGTGGATCTCAGTGTGTTTGAGGCCAACCTGGTCTACAAGTGAGTTCTAGGACAGCCAGGACTGTTACACACAGAAACCCCGTGTGTGGGGGTGGGGTTGGGGGGGTTGTTGTTGTTGTTGTTGGTGAACTGGTCTTGTATGGCATGGTAGTGACATGCTTATAATCCCAGCAATACAATGGCTGAAGCAGGAGGATTCAAGTTCCAGGCTAGCCTGGGCTACAGAGTGAAATCATGTACTTGAAAAAAGTAAAAAGCCAGGAGTCATGGCCACAGGCCTATGATAATACAACCATTTGGAAGGTGTGTAGAAGGAGGAATCAAAAATTCAACACCAGTCTCTGCTACATACCATATCCAGTCTGAGGCTGCATGAGCTACGTGAGACCCTATCCCAAAAGAAGGAAAACAAAAAACAAACAAACAGAACTGTATTGGCTATAATATACCATCAAGTGTCAAAACTCCCAGGGGGCTGGAGAGATGGCTCAGGAGTTAAGAGCACTGGCTGCTCTTCCAGAAGTCCTTAGTTCAATTCCCAGCAACCACATGGTGACTCACAACCATCTGTAATGAGATCTGGTGCCCTCTTCTAGCATGCAGGTATGCATGCAGATAGAGTAGTCATACATGCCCAGCCAGAATACACCACAATAAGATCAGTCAAATCCTAGGGAATGGTGAATGGAGAATCTCCTTTAACAAACAATAAAACAGGAAGTAATCCTCAACTCCCTATTTTCTTCGGAGGGGTGTCATTTTTTAGTGTTTTTGAGACAGGATCACCCATGGTACAGGTTGTTCCTGAACTCACTATGTAGCCAAGGCTAGCCTCAAACTCCTGTTCCTTCTGCTTTCTACCAAAATGATGGGATCACAGGTTTGTTGGTTTGTTTGGTTTTGTTTTGTTTTTAGACTAGGGTTATTACTCTACAACTAAGTGTATTCTGGAACTCTATATAATAATCATGATGACCTGGACCCCTATGATCTCCACTGGCGGCACTAGCAGCTCTAGATAGGAGGTTCTGGAGAAAGGCCGCATCCAAGCCACATATGCCTCCACTCAGCTTCTCAGTGGTTCTCATAGAGAGCTGCAGAATGGCCTTGCACAGTACACTCAGGTCATACTCACTGATGTGGCAGACAGATCACTTTTGAATGTCCAACTCCCAACTCCTCCCCTACCCCAGAGCTGTGACAGCAAGGATTTTGGCTTCTGGTTGCTTGCCAGAAGTAGTCACCTCACTATCAGGTGAGTCAGGCAGTACTTCACTCAATAGGTCAGTTCCTTCATGGCAAGAGCCAGAAAGAGCTGCTCAAGCTTGGTGAACACTGGCTGACAGCCAGGATTCCCTACAGCGGGGAAGTGGAAGCACCCAGCTCAATAAGAGGCCTCTCCAAACCTCACATGCTGTTTCGTTGAGTTTGCTCATCTTATTTATTCATTCAGGTTTTTTAAGACAGGTTTTCTCTGTGTAACAGCTCTGCCTGTCCTGAAACTCACTTTGTAGACCAGATCTCTCAAACTCAGAGAGATCCGAATTTTATTTATTGAGATAGACAGGATCTCATGTAGCACAAGCTGGCTTTGAATCAATGCTCCTCTTGTGAACTCCTGAGTACTGGGATTACAGGTGTGCTTGTTTTACACCTGAACGAGCACATCTTCTGGCTTGCTTCATTTCTGAGACAAAGTTCCACGACATAGCCCAGGCTGGCCTGGACCCACCTGTTTTGACCTCATGAGAGCTGAACTGTAGGCACAAGGTATGATTCAGTGAGTTTACTATTACTGATGGAAGTAGATTACGGTTCTCAAATGTGCTGACACCAAGAAAAGTAAATAAAAATTATATATATAAAATTGCCTCTATCTTACAGGGCTAAAAGGGGAAAAGACTAATGAAGCTATATTCAGGTAATGCATCGAAAAACTTCTATACACTACTTAAGAATATTCCCACTAAAATAGGACAGTGGGTAAATTGCCAAATATCAGTGAACTCCACATTCTGGAATCTTATTTGGATAACCACTGAATACAGTAGTTATCTTAATTCTCTCATCTTATTACTAATTACTAAGAAGGGTTCTCTCTCTTTAACGAGGGGGGGGGGCGGGACAATTGTTCCTTGCTCTCCATCCTAGGCACATCTTCCTACATTCCCAGGAACTCCAACATTAAAAACTTGAGCTAGGACAGACATAATGCCAAAAGCCTTTAACTCCAGCACTTGGGAGAGGCAAGCATCTCTGTGTGAGTTTGACCAGCCCTGGACTATACAGAGCTCCAAGAAAACCAGGGATACACAGACCCTGTCTTAAAATTAAAAAAAAAAAAAAAAAAAAGCAGCAGCAGCAGCTAAGTTGGTGGTGGTGGAAAGATGGCTCAGTGGTTAAAAGGGCCTGGGTTCAATTCCCAGCACCCACAGAATGGCTCAAAACTGTCAGTAACTCCAGCTCCAGGGCTTCCACTTGCATCTTTTGGCCTCTTAAGGCAGCAGGCATTTACACAGTGCATAGACAAACATTTAGACAAAACATCTATAAATATAAAACAAAACAAAAAAAAGCCTTGAGAGAAATCACCCTGATTTTAACAAGATACTGTCATCAATAGATGACAAAACAAAATAGAAGCAAAAATATCAGCAGAATTTGCCATCACCAGTAGGAAAAACCCTGAGCTACAGAGGCTTCTAATGTAGAAAGTACTGCTTGTATAAGGAAAAAAGAAAGAAGCCAAGTGGTGGTAGCACACACCCTTAATTCCAGCACTCGGGAGGCAGGGGCAGGCGAATCTCTGTGAGTTCCAGGATAGTTAAGGCTACAGAGAGAAACCCTGTCCTGAAAAACAAGCCAACCAACCAACCAAATAAATAATGCCAGGGGTGGGCAGGAGAGATGGCTCAGAGGTTAAGAGCATCGACTGCTCTTCCAAGGGTCCTGAGTTCAATTCCCAGCAACCACATGGTAGCTCACAACCATCCATTATGAGATCTGGTGCCCTCTTCTGGTGTGCAGATATACACAGAAGCAGAATGTTGTATACATAATAAATAAATAAAATCTTAAAAAAAATAAATAATGCCAGGGGCAGTATAGAATCCCAACATTCTGGAGAAGCAGGCAGATCTGAGAGTTCAAGGCAAGCTTGATCTATATAGTGAGTTCCAGATCACCAGGAATATATACTAAGACCCTGCCTAAAAAAAAATAAAATTATGCAGCAGAGTTCAGTTTCTAGCACAGTACTGGATAGCTCACATACCCTTCAACAATAGCTGTGAGGGATCTGAAGCCACCACACTCAGGGAAAATACTCAAGCATGCGCAAAGTGAAACAAGTCAGGCAGTGTACAGTCCTGCTCAGCTTTAATTCTACACAGAGGCAAGTGGATCTCTGTGAGTTTGAGAGCTTGGTTCACACATCAAGTTCTAGAACAGCTAGACCTACATTGTGAGACTCTGTTTCAAAAATAAAAACACCAGTCTAGCCGGGCGTTTGTGACGCACGCCTTTAATCTCAGCACTCGGGAGGCAGAAGCAGGTGGATCTCTGTGAGTTCGAGGCCAGCCTGGTCTCCAGATTGAGTGCCAGGATAGGCTCCAAAGCTACACAGAGAAACCCTGTCTCGGAAAAAAAAAACAAAACCCACCAGTCTCTTTAGCATATCAATCACAAAAATAAGTTAAGACATGAAGGCCTGTCATGGCGGTACACACTCTTGGGAGTTTAAAGCCTGTCTCAGTTACATTGGACCCTGTCTGAGAGAAACTCAAAAGGAAATAAAACTCAAAACAAACAACAACAAAAAAACTGGTGTAGGACAAAGAATCCTCTCTTTCCAGAACCAGGTCAGAGAACTAAAGCCCTTTAAAGCCTGTGTTTCACAATGGCCATGCTAGAAGTTAGCCTGCAATGTTTGGTCAGGCCCCAGCAGAGTAGTCCAGATCTCTGACCCCCTTAATACTAACAGGAATCCTCTTGATAATTCTGTCATTTTTCTTTAAAAATTCTATTACAGTATTATTTAAGTGCTTGAGTCACACAGACAGACACCCACACGCCTAACCCCAACCACCCATCCCATGGCTTTGCTGTAGAGGTCAGAGAACAAATTACAGAATTGGTCCTATCTTTCAAATATGTGGGACTGGTGTGGTCACCAGAGGTCCTACTTGCCTACAGGTTCACTAATTTATTCAGACAGAAAGACCATAAACCTCAGAAAAGGACTGAGTTGCCAAAATAGAAGACAAAGAATAGAATCTTAACTTTTAGTTTCATCAGAAACCCACAGTGTTCTTTATGAGTTTGCTTATTTTATTAAGTATTTTTAGAATTGTGTGTATGAGACAGGATCTCATTACATAGCCTTTGCTGACTTCAAACCAGAGATCTATCAGCCTCTGCTTTAAAATGATGGGATTAAGATAAGCACCAACACGATTAGCTTATAAAATTTATTTTTAAAGGTTCCTTTTAACTTATGTGTCTGAGTATGCCACTTGTGTGCAGGTACCCAAGAAGGCCAGAAGAGGGTGGAAGATCCCCTGGACCTTGAGGTAAAGCCACAGGTCTTCTACAAGAGTAGTTCATGCTCGTAACCAATTTATCATCTCTCCAGATTCAACTTAATGTTTTTTATTTTTTATTTATTATTTTTCTTGGTTTTTCAAGACAGGGTTTCTCTGTGGCTTTGGAGACTGTCCTGGCACTAGCAATTGTAGACCAAGCTGGTCTTGAACTCACATTTTTTTTTTTTGATGTATTAACTTTTATTACTTTTAATTAGAAATTTATGCCTGGGCTGCTAAGAAGGTCCGGCAAGTAAAAGAACTTGCTGCCAAACCTGATGATATGAGTTTGTGGACAGAGAAAAAAAATAACTCACACCAATGGTCCTGACACCCAAGAGTGCTGTGGACATTCACCCAGGCACAAATAGTTACATATACACTAAAAGTAATGATTGTTACCTCAACATTTCTTGGAAATAATAAATGATTTCCTCGTTTCTGCTACATTTTTTTCTTTTTAACAAGCTTTAGCTCCTAACACTGTCACTCTGTAGACCAGGCTGAACTCCCAGAGATCCATCTGCCTCTGCCTCCCGAGTGCTGGGTTTTACATGAATCCTTTGCTAAATCAGGTGAAAAAATTAAGCTGGGTGTGGTGGGTCAAGCCTACAATCCCAGCATCACACATCATCAGACCAAAAAGTAAAAACTGTCAGATTCCATGACACTTCTTCAGAATTACCATCTGATCAAGCACCCAGGTAACAAGAAAGTCTGGGCAGCTGAGAAGAGCGGGCAGCTGCTGAGAAGATACTGTAAAGTTGCCTCACTGCTCCAGATTTCACACCCTACCATTTTCCCCAAAAGCACTGACACAAGGCACAAGAAATTACTGTGTGGCTTTAGTTAAGATCTGAGTCTGGTTTCCTGTACATAGATGCTCAGATTCTAAGGACCAGGAATGCCACAGATCCCTCCTCAAGTTCACTGAGCACTCATCTATCCTTGCTGCCTGGATATGCCAACGTCTTCAGATTCACCTGCTCCCCACTTAAAGGCCAGTAGGAACAAATAGACTTATCCCACAATTAACCAATTAACACAAGGTTAAGCGCCACTTGGTCAATGAAAGTAGATAGAGATTAGAGTCTTGCCTTCAAAAGTTCTGAGTGTTAAGCCTGTTTCATGGGAGAAAAATAATTGCTTTGTTGAAATTAATTTCAGACTAGGTCTTATAGAAAATGGGTAGTGGTGTAGGCATGCTTTAAGTCACTGTTAATATAAAACTGCACTAATCTTTTCAAAGTTCCAAATATCCTAATCTAGAAGTAATTCTCAATGACACAAAATTACCTTTAAGATGGATGAGTATGATGGTGCAAGCCATAACTCCAGCACCTGGGATAGACTTAAGAAAGAGGTCATGCAGGGTGGTGGTGGCGCACGCCTTTAATCCCAGCACTAAGTAAGCAGAAGCAGGTGGATCTCTGTGAATTCAACGCCAGTCTGGTCTACAAAGAAAGTTCCAGAACAGCCAGAGCTGTTACAGAGAAACCCTGTCTCAAAAAATAAAATGAGAGAATTTTTGGCCAGATTGGGCTACATGATGAGATTCTGTCTGATTAAGCATATTGACTTCAAAAGCCTAAAGGTGACCCAATGGTCCTATTCCAATTCCTGACCTAACTACAAACCCAGATCACCTGTGAAAACCAAGCTCAAATATGAGGGGTTTAAAAACAAAACAAAAAAACAATTTTTTTCTTTCTAATTGTCTCCCCCCCCCCCTTAACAGGTTTCATTATGTAGCCCCCAGCTGTCCTAAAACTCCTGGAACATGAGATCTTCCTACCTCAGCTTCTTCAGCCCTGAAATTACAGCCATGCCTTAGTAAAGTGATTCTAGAACACACTCACATTCCTCTCCCTCTCCCTCCCTCTCTCTGGAGTTTTATAAACCTTGGGTCTTACACACTGAAGTCAAACACTCAATCCCAGCACTTGGGAGGCAGAGGCAGACGGATCTTTGGGAGTTCAGCCTGGTCTACAGAGTGAGTTCCAGGACAAGCTCCAAAGCAATACAGAGAAACCCTGTCTCGGAAAAACAAACAAACAAACAAACAAAATAAAGATTTATTACCAATGACTAATCAAACTGGGGGCTAATTTAGAAAGTGTAGGCAGACAAGAATGATGCTGATATGCTGATAGGCTCCTCAGAATCCCAGGCACACTGCAGACTCTCTAGAAATTCTACTCCTTAATTTTGTTAAGGCTTTGACAGCTTTATGCATTACTGTTTTCTCTCTGTGTGTGTGTCTGTGTATACACATACATGTTGTGTGTCAAAGAGTAACTTTGTGTCTTCCTCTACTGGCCTTCACCTTATTAATATTTTTAATAGTCTCTCATTCAAATCCATTTCTGCTAGATTGACTGGCAACCTAGACCCCTAGTTCCCTTCTGTCTCCACTCTTCCCCACAAACCAGCCCTATGAGGGTTATAGACACATGTAATGGAACATGGCTTTTGGGTGGAGATTATGTCGTGGAATGTTCTTTTACACTGTGTGAAGGTGTCACTGTGATTTATTTAATAAAAAGCTAAACGGCCCAGTAGCTAGATATAGCAGGGACTTTTGGACAGAGAGCGCTCTGGGAAGAAGGAGGTGTTGCCATCGAAATGGAGAGTTAGCAAGATGGGCAATACAGAGTAAAGGTAACTGAGCCACACAAAGAATGCAGATTAAAAGATATGGGTGAAGTTATAAGAGCTAGTGGGACAAGCCTAAACTATAGGCCGAGCTTTTATAATTAATAATAAGCCTTCGTGTCAGTTTTCTTTCTTTCTTTCTTTCTTTCTTTTTTGGTGAGTTGGCAGCCCCAAAGAAAAGTTTGAACTCAGGTCCTTAGGCTTGCACAGCAAGCACTTAACCTTGGAGTTCAAGCTTAATGGAACTCACTCTCTATGCAGCCCAGGATGACCTTGAATTCTTAATGATCCTCCTGTGTTTGTTTACAGTAGAGAGCCACCATGCTCTGCTTCAGGGCCTTGATAATATTAAGAGTAAACCTTAGCCGGGCATTGGTGGTGCATGCCTTTAATCCCAGCACTTGGGAGGCAGAGGCAGGCAGACCTCTGTGAGTTCAAGGCCTGGTCTCCAGTGCGAGTGCCAGGACAGCCTCCAAAGCTACACAGAGAAACCCCTGTCTCGAAAAACCAAAAAGAGTAAACCTTACCCCTTTTCTTGGAGACAGGGTATCACGTAGCTTAGGATGGTCTCAAACTCACTATACAGCTACTGTCTCCAAGTGCTGGGGTGGCAGGTATGTTACCATCACACTCAATGAGAGGCAAACAGAGATCCAGGCATGCCAAGCAAGTACTTGACCAATTGAGTCCAAGAGACTTCTAAGGTTTCCAGAATGGCAGCCCAGTCATTCCCCAAAACACTCTAGAGATTTCCTAGGGCTTTCACAGGCAAGACAAACTCAAAAGGTAAATCCAAAGGCCTTTCAAGTTCAGTTGTGTTAGACTATCTGGTCTGGGTTAGCAGCTCCGAAATGTTCTAATTATAGGTTCACTATTCTGCCAATACACTGTTTGGAACTTGCTTCATTTCCCAAGAGGAGTCCTTACCCAGTTCCCTGGCAGCAGGAGCAGCAACAGCCAAGACAGACAAGTATCTACCAAATAAGCAATATCTACCTTGTTTCTGGGTGCTCAAACGAACCCCAAGATAAACCCTATGGGTTTTGTGGTAAGTCTGACAACTATGCATCACATACAGCCAGTCAAAACCATTCTCAGTCTTTTCCTCCCTCCAAGCATGACCAGCTATCTGCTGAAGAAAAAAAAATCCTCAGTTTTTTACAGCAGCCAAGGTCGTATGTGGCATTGTCCCCACTTGGATTAGAAGGCTGAGATTCCCTCAGCACAACTGGATCCCTGTTTAAAGGGCCGAGCTATGCAGAACCCAAAGTAGTGAGAAAGGCAAAAATAATAATAATAATAATAATAATAATAATAATAATAATAATAATAATAATAATAATCCAAGTTAAAGGGCCTTAGGGAATAAGAGGAAGTACTCCTCTTAGAGGAGACTTAAGAAAACAGCTAAAACCCGCATAAGTTTAGTAGATTCAGTCATGTGACCCCGGATGGTGTTACTCCTCTTGCCTGTCTTCATTTATTGGCCTGCAGCTTGGTGGAACAACCTTTCTGGTTCTCGCTGGAGTCATAGGCGATATTCTATCAGCAGGTTTAACAGAAATGCCCCACCCTATCCAAGCTCCTCCTATATACAGTTAAGTGAAAGCGTCCCAAGGACAAAGAGGAGCTGGGGGGTGAGGGGGGGTCTACTCCTCTCCCCAAACTGACCCGGCCGGGTCACTCAAGAGGCTACAATTACGAGAAACAGGTCCTGACAGGACTCACCCTACAATGCAGAGCCCAAACCAGCCCGGGCTCCAGCTCTGGCCCAGTGACAAAGTGAGCAGCACATCTGCTCACCGCCCCCGGTGCCCCTGCAAACAATTCTTCCCCTAACTACGGCGACACGGCACGCCACACCTCTCCTCTCCGCCGGCCCTTCTGCCTGGGCCATGCATCCCTCCCTCACTTGCACCACGGAAAGATGCTGTGACAGTCAGGCCGGAGCTCCGGGGGCCCCGGGCCGCCAAGGACCGCACGCAGGCTGGCCGGCCGGCGCCGGCAGCGTTCACCTTAGCGCCGGAAGGAAGGGCAGTGAGGCACATGGCCTAGGAGATGCAGGAAGGGCTGGCTGGCGGCCGGCCAGGC